TATAATTTCATTATACCTAATTCTGTAATTATTGATTGTGGTGCTTCACCTGGAAGTTGGTGTCAATATATTTCTCGTAAAATATTTTCATCAAAGAAAGTGGATGAGGATGTTAATAATGACTTAATAATAGCCGTTGATTTATTACCTATTGATCCAATACCTGGTGTAAAGATTATACAAGGAGATTTCACTGAATTGGGGACACAACAAAAAATTAAAGATTTATTAAACGAAAGACATGTTGATGTAGTGCTTAATGATATGGCTCCAAATTTTACTGGAACTCATTTTGTGGATCATGTTAGATCAATGGTAAACTAATTTACTAACATAATGCATAATATACACTATTTATAAATTTAATCTTTTATATATATATATATATCAAGGATTTATGTGAATCTTCTTTGACTTTTGCCGAACATGTATTAAAATCTGGTGGCACTTTTCTGTGCAAGGTATGATGATGATTAGATAAATCTATTACCCACTAAATTCATTCATAATTCACTCATAATTCATTCATAATTGTTGATGTTTCTTTTTCTTATTCCTAAAGTTCTTAATGGGTGAATCTGAATCGGATTTTAGAAACAAATTGAAATCTAAATTTAAAGAGGTTCATCATGTGAAACCTCATTCTTCACGCGATAAATCAACTGAAGGATACTTTGTGTGTTTAGAATTTAATAAAAATATCACTAGTGGTATGACATAATAAAAAATATTGGTTTTCATTAATAAAATCTTATTAATATTATTAAATATTATTAGTATATATTTTATACATAAGTGTTAGTAGTCAACTCACTGCATATTAATACAAATCTGTTTCCGTAAAATCTACACTAAATCCTTGATCATGTAATAATTTATTCTTAAGTTTTTCCCGCCTTGCCCGTGCTTCCATTTCCTCACGTTGTGCTAATAGAATCTCTTCGACAGGTACTTGTCGAAGAGGTAATTCATCTTCCTTGTCAAGATCCTTATTTATATAAAATTAATTTTATAATTTGAGATTTTTCATAAAGAAATATGAAAAGAACAATAATAATATTTTAAAAATTTTTACAATTTCTCCCAATAGAACAACATTCTCTCCTCTAATAATAAAAATTCCCCGAGGAATATCTCCATATGCGTCACCAACGTAGATTCGTTCTATTGTATCTTGTAATACAAGATTTGCTGAGGAAATTCGTTTAATATATATTGATTAAAGTTTAACTATAATTGATCGAAATTAAAATGTAATTTTGAAACAAAATGCTTTCCTACCAAATTGATCAAAAGATCTTAATACACCAATGAGTTTGCGTCCATCACGAAGTACAACTAGTAATTTCCCTTTTACAACCAATACATTTATTTGAATCATTAGAAAAGTGTAAAAAATTTATTTTTTTTTATTGAAATAAGATAAAATATAAAATACATAATTGCTTAGAAAAAACTTGTGGAAAACCATATACTGAAGATGAAAAAATTATGCCCTCCTAACTTACGATCAACACTATCAACTAAACTGGCAGAAGTTGTAAAAATTTGCGGAATAAAATTATCCATATTTCTATTAATATTAAATATATGACACACTATAAACTTAGCGTTCGATAAAGAGTTTAAAAAAATTGATAATTAATTCATGGCAAAAAATAATTCCGTCAAAGCTTGAAAATGTCACACGCGACTTTCTCGTGATTGGTTAGTTAATTTTAGATAGTTCAGACTTGTAATTTTAGGTAAAGAAATATTTAATTTATTTTTTTAGCATTAAGAGACCCTTGTTTTACAGTATAAAAATTTGAATTTTAAGATATATATATATATATAGTATATATATAATATACGTATACATTTCTTACATATCAGATATAAAACGCATCTACGTACGTAGGTTTTTCACTTACGCATTATATATATATACAGTATATAGCAGAACAGATGTTGTTATGGATACTAAATTTGCATTGAAAAAATGTACATATAAAATGAAGGAATTAAATTTGATGAACGTGAGATCTCACTTATTGTCAAAAGTCTGGTGAATTGGATAACAGCATACCTGAATATATGATCAATGAGAAAAGTGGAATTGAAGACGAAAGACCGAAACAAACGAAACTAATCTTAGTCTAATTTGACAAATTGAAATTTTACTATGTTTAAATGTTTCGAATTCAAGCATGTATAATTGGATATAAATTTATTTAACATTTTTTTAAAAAATAAAATTTTCATTAATACAGTATTAATGATTCTTCATGTCATTTACAATTTTTCTTAAAAAAAAAAAAAAACACATATTTGATGAAATCTTTTGTTGAAAAATTTATTATGAACGAAATAAAATTCGTCTAAATTACAATGTAACTGAGCAAATTATGTTAATTTCAAAGTGACGTATCTTATTTTAAAGAACTAAGACCGTATGTGACTTACTTCTAATAATATCTATTTTAAAGAAAGCCCCATATGTGATTTACTCCTAATAATATCTATTTAAAATAAAAAAGCATGATGAAATGTAAATCAATATGGCCAGACAAGAGGCACTGGCACACGCTATAAAGGAAGACACATAACTGATCCTTCATCTACAGGATCAGACCTTTTATGCGCTATGACTAGGGTGAGGGGCACAGGAAATTTTTTGGGTATGCCCCTATAAATATATATACATACCAATATTAATTTTGTAGAAGCAGTTAATATTATAATATTAACCAATCAAAGGCACTTTCACTTAATATGTGTTTTTTAAATATCAAATAAAGGGCATGCCTTTTAGCTTAAAGGCATACCCAAGAACCCTGTGCCCCTCACCCCCACGCGTCCTGACAGAGATGCAGAGCCTCACACCTCTCATGGCGCAGATCAGAGGAGCACAAGCAAAAATTACTTGTAGAAGATGCAGAGCCCACCCCCTCCCCTCGACAACAACGGGCGCAAGACGCCACCGTGACTGACCACCTCAGTATTAAATTCAACTTTAATTTTTTCGCCTACGTACTTGCTGCCTGTGTAAATCTTAGTCGTGATGACCGTATAAGTGCGAAATAACGCGCAGGGATGTTATTTTGAATAATGGCCAGAATTAGGCCAAAATTCGAAATTACACCCTGCGCATTATTTTGTGAAATCATCAACGATAATCATCCAATGAAATCACTAACAATAATCATCCAATGAAATTCATCAACAAAAAAAAAATTAATATAACGGTTGTCTTTGAAAAAAATTCTAAAATTTTGTAATACTGTATTTAAAAATTAGAAATAATGACCGCAGTAACTTTGAGAGAACCCTTTGAGATAGAACAAAAAGTTATTACAATCAAAAATCAAAATAACTTATTTGATATTGGTGTTAGCATTCCGGTAGAAATTCATTCAAAAACTGTGAATTCGAAAATTAATATTAACGTTAAAACAGTCGATGAAAAAATTATTGATACGATAAATGATATAAATAATGAAAATGCTGAAAAATCAATTAATGAGCATGATCCTGAATTAGAAGAAAAGATTCTTATTACTTACAAAGGATCTGGTATTTCTTTGGTTTCTGTAAGTTTATCTTCATTATACGACTTTCTTAATCTATTTTACTTGTTAGATTTTATATTTTATCCATTGTTTTCATATGCTTTAATTATGCTTTAATCTGTAGGATGATGGTCGTCAGTTACGCAATTGGCCCATTCCCCCTCAATATTCCGTGATTACTCCCGCAAAGTGTCTTATAAAGTCTGGTAGATGTTATGTTTACGTAATAATTCACTCTGAGAACGATGTTATAGGTTCAGATAAGGTTATATGGTTTTGGAAAGACAGAAAAAAGTCTTTGGATAGTTCCCAGCCAACTAAAAAGAAGGTGTGTGTATTTGAACCTTGTATTATTACTCTTAATTTCATTTAATTTCATTTGTTTTCATTTAATTTGTAATCTATATCCTTATTAATTTCCTTTTGAAGACTAGAGAATTTGAAAGAGAATTATTTTCTCTAGAATTATCTTCTCTTCTTCCAAAAAATATCATTCTAATAAACAAAGACGGTTCCTTGTTAATAGTTAAGAATAGTTTGAAAGCTGCCTACAATGATCGTTTTATTGGTGCCAAAAGTAAAAAAAAACGTGATGTTGTCTGGTCAACTCTTTTTAATTCTTCCGGTTCATGTGTTCCTACAAACTTCTCACCACATCCATCTTTAGTGGTCCTCACAATTTCAATGAATAAATCTGAGAAAAACAATGCTTCTCTATCTTCTAAACATTTTTTTCTATCTTTCATATGTATTAATTGCAATACATTGCAATATGAGTATCTGGCTCACTACACACACTCTACACAATCTGATCAGGTGTTTATTTCTTTCATGAGCATTTTATGAATTACTGCTATTATTAATATGTTTACTAATAATCTATTTAATCATTCTTTTTTTTTAATAGTTGTCAACTCCTCTAATTTTTAATTTTGATCCATTGACTGGAAGATTGTTTGTATTATGTAATTTATCTTGAAATTTGTTTTTAACGTCTCATTAATATATTAAATTTATGTCTAACCAACTTTAAAAAATTGTATATAGTTTCACCAGGCGTGTTGAAAGTGTTTATGATCACTTTTAATTTTATCGATTCCAAATTGGATATTACGTTGTCCGAAGTTTATAAATTTGAATTTGATGGACTGATTCCATTCACGGAAAAATATTTTTCAACAACACAAGGTGAACATGCATTGCAGTTCGCTCCTATTTCCGATTCTTATTTGGCTCTTGTTGGAATGCAAAAAACTCTTGCATCAAGTAAGTATATATAATATATATATATAATTATTCAACCTAAAATTAAATTTTATTATTTTTAAAAGTCAACAAGGTCTTGACCATATGGGATTTACGATATGGAACTTTACAAG